CCCCCGTCCGGCCTCAGAGCGCTGCGGGACCCGCGTGTCCCGGCGGCCGCCCTGGGAAGCGGAGCCAGCCCGGGGCTTCCCGCTGCCCCGCCGCGCGCTCGGCACAAGCGCCTCCGTCTGCTCGAGCGCTGCAGACTGGGTGCGGAGCTGCTGCTTCGCTAGGCTGGAGTGCGGCAGTGAAACAGCTTGGCCCCTGCGCAGTCAGCACAGCTCTGCACGTGAGTGTTTGCCTCAGAAGTACAGCCAAGCAGGCAGCCAGCGGCCCCACCTCATCCTTTCCCTGGCTGATGACAGAGCAGCCCCTCACAGGTGTCTTGCGCCATAAAAATAACTGATTTTGCCCCTGTGGATAAGCAGCGCCCCCTGTTCACTGCAGTTGTTCTGGGCACAAGTGGTAATAGCTACACATTTGTGAAGCTGCCATGAGAAAGCAGCTTGGGTTCCACCACCCCACAACAGCTCTCGTGCCTGCAAATGTGAATGTGTTAGAGCTGCTGCTCTGTGGCCTGAAACTCTGCAAACATCCATTACTTAATTTGCTATTACACAACTATTTGTTTGGGTTTGGGGGTTGTAAAATATCAAAATAAAATTCAGACAATAGGAGTACCCTTTCCTTTTTGGTTGTTTTTTCAAGAAGATTCCATGTTTGCTATTAGGCCCTGAACCTGTATTTGTAAACTCCAACCTCCACAGTTTTTATAAATATGGAAACTTAAAACAGCTATGATTCTGCAACTAGTCTGACTTAGAAAAAAAAAAAAGTATTTTTGACCACACTGGGTCATTAAACTTCGTGTCTCCATTAAGAAAAAAAAAAAAAAAACTTTGGAAGATAAAAATTAATTTTCGCACTGGAAGGAGAAAATGGATTTAGACTACAGCTTCCAACACTTTAAAAAATACCTGGTTTTAATTACACTTATAAAGCACATTTGTGGGTGGATACTCTGTAAAGCATGAATTAGTATTTCTTTCCACTTACCTCCAATTAATTGAGGCATTTATGTAAACAAATACAGAGAATAAGGAAGTATAATAGAACACTGTATTTAATTGAACATGATATATACTGCTGCACATTGGACTCCTTGCAAATCAAAAGCTTGATGACATACATAAAAATTTATATAAAGTTGCCGAACTGACTTTGGGCCTATTTTAAAGAGGGGCTGGCATATTACCGGCAACACATAAATCTCTTATCAGGACTATAGTGTACCAACTACAGGGGAGTTTTGAGAAACAGCTTCAGTTTTCTTTCAGCAATGACTTCACACATTTTTACATCTCTTAGTAATAATCAAGTTCCATGAGTTTTGTCTGCAGAAACTATGCCAGGATCATTTCTATGATTCATTTATCTGGTCTACTGTTTTAATCAGTAAATAGCATCAAGACCAACTGAGAAATAACTTCTGCATAAACAATGGCAATTCTTATAGCAATTGTTATATACAATAACCCCATGCACTTCAAGAGCACAAAGCCAGTTATAGATAACTAGAATAACCAACAGCTATTCTATAACTACTATTAAATATAGGTTTGCGCATTCCAGTGGCAAAGGATTTTTTTATATACACCTGTTTAGAAATTCATGATCTGTTCTTTTAAAGTTATTGAGTGCATAAATAGTCATCTGTACTCACAAATACACAGGATTTGATAGAAAGGCTTGGGAGAATTAAACAGCAAGTCCCCAATTTCTCCCTTTAAAAGTCTTTCAAGGGGATACTTTTTACTTGACTGACAGTGTTTTTTCTTCTATTGATTCTGTCCAACTTCTTCACTCTTTCAGCAACTAAGTATAGCACCTTTATTGAGTGCATAAATAGTCATCTGTACTCACAAATACACAGGATTTGATAGAAAGGCTTGGGAGAATTAAACAGCAAGTCCCCAATTTCTCCCTTTAAAAGTCTTTCAAGGGGATACTTTTTACTTGACTGACAGTGTTTTTTCTTCTATTGATTCTGTCCAACTTCTTCACTCTTTCAGCAACTAAGTATAGCACCTAAAAAAAAAGAGAGCACGTTGTCAGTTTTCCCACTTGAATTCTCCCCTGAAATTCTCTT